TCTCTCGATGTTAGATTTGGACGTATTACCCCAGACTGTAAGACAATAGTTTATTGAAGGCAAAATGTATGCATTATAGAAGAGTTTTCTTGTACTTAATGAAAGAAATTTCTTAATTTTACGGAGCGTAAATAACTTGTATCTTAATGATTTACAAACTGTATCAACATGACAATTATACTGAAGAGATTGATCTATTTGAATACCTAGGAGTTTTTCAACTTCAACGTTTTCCAAGTTTTTGCCAGAAATTTTTGCATAAAGTACTGGGTTATTTAATCGTGATCTCTTTTGTTGGGTACACATAAGCATACATTTTGATTTGTCTGTGTTCAGTATCATCTGATTCTGTATACACCAGTTTTCAATTTCACATAAATCAGAATTCAAATGTGTTTCAATAGTATGTACATTGCTGTTAGGTAAATGCAGAGTTGCATCGTCTGCAAACATATCAATATTAGAGTAATTTACACATAAAGGAAGATCATTTATATACAATAAAAATAGAAGTGGACCTAAAATGGACCCCTGTGGTACCCCTGCTGTGATAGGTAAGATATCGGAAGAACATGTGCCAATTTTAACAGTTTGGGTCCTTTCGTTTAAATAAGACTGAAACCACTTAACTGCAAGTGAATCAAAATTATAATGGCGTAATTTTTCTATTAAGATATCATGACTGACTAAATCAAACGCCTTACTAAAATCTAGAAAAGCTATGCCAATTAAATTCCCTTGATCCATTGCATGCAACCAGTTATCAGTGAATTTGGTTAGTGCTGTTTGGCAAGAGTGGAATTCCCTAAAACCAGACTGTGAGCTCATAATGAGGTCAAAGGCTCTTGTAAATTCACGTACTTGATTTGCAATATGCTTTTCAAAAATTTTTGACAAAGTTGGTAAAATAGATATTGGGCGGTAGTTACTGGGATCACTTTTATCGCCCTTCTTATAAATGGGGGTGACTTTAGCATGTTTCAGTTGGGAAGGGAAGATGCCATTACTAATGCTAGTATTAATGAGATGAGTTATGGGTTTAAAAATTACATTTGCAGAAAGTTTTAAGAGACGGGGACCAATGAAATCTACACCTGCTGATTTATTAATGTCAAGTGAGCGTAGCATAGTTAATACATCGTCCTGACTTATAGGAAGTAGGCTAAACACATTTTCATCATTGAGTTTGGACTTCGTGAATTCTTTTAACTTTTGAGAATTAAAGCTATGGTTTTGTTTTTTTGTTAATAGATTGTCAGAAATTCTTGTGAAGTGCTCATTAAAAACATTTACGATTTGTTGTAAATCATCAATTTCTGATCCATTCTCTTTAATAAGAGTGGGGGAAATATTTTTTGACTTAGAAGCTAAATGATTGAGATAGCTCCACATTTCTCTAGGATTAGAGCTCTCCTCAATTGCTGATTTGTAATAAGTACATTTTGCATTATTAATCAAAAGTGTAACTCTATTTCTCCAATGTCGAAAATTATCAAAGTCTTTTTGTTGATGATAGTAATCTCGTAAATGTCTAGCATCATTAATTTCTTGCGTTAACCATTTAGGGCGAGACTCGGTTTTTACACGTTTAGTTTTTACCTTAGCATGCTTATTGAGAATGGTATTAAACATGCTGTAGAAGTTTTCCAATATATCATTAGGATTTTGCAAATTTGTAAGAACATTAAAATTGGCACTTTGTAAATCGGAGAGAAAGTCTTCTTCATTAAAATTCTTAAAGTCTCTGTATTGAATTTCAGTGTGTTTTCCCTTACGCTGCATGCTGTTAGATTTAAGGGTTGCACAAACAGGGTAATGGTCAGAGATAGCTATGGGTGGTACTTGAATTTCGCAGATGTTATCAGGTTGGGTAGTGTAAAAATGATCAATTAGGGTACATGAGGTGTTAGTAATTCTAGTAGGTATGGTAATTAGTTGAGTAAGTCCAAATTCTTCTAGAGCAGATGTCCAAGATTGAGGGGGGTCTTTAAGCAGATCTACATTAAAATCACCTGTAAGTATGATTTCTTGGTCATCACAGCAGGGGCCACAATTTATCTCTCTCGCTAGATCCTCCAACCAGCAGGAGGGTGCAGATGGTGGGCGGTATGCGGAACAATAAAATATGGGTTTTGTGTTCTTTAAATTAATTTCTAACCATATTGTCTCAATGTTACTGATTTCTAAATCTTTTCGACGTTTATAGGATAAATCATTTGAGATATAAATTATTATTCCACCGCCTGTCTTATTTTGTCTATCTTTTCTTTCTAGTACATAGCCATCTATACTCAAATCCGAATCACTAATATGGTCCTGTAAAAAAGTCTCACAAAGCCCCAGTACATCCATAGATCGTTCATTTTGTAACATTAATTTCAGTTCATCAAATTTTGGTACAAGATGACAAATATTAAAATTTCCAAAACGCAAACCCTTTTTGATAAGACCAAATCCGGTGTTCACCGGAGTATATTTATTTGTTATGCTTATAGCTTTGTTTGAATCAATACTTTCACACGTAAGACTTTTGTTAATCTCATTTTCAGACATAGATATTTGCGTATCTTTAAGGGAATTTCTTTCTTTTGGAGGTGCATATTTTACTCGAGGAATTTTAACGGTGGGAGAATTTTTCACAGCGCATATACATAATATTTTGTTACATTCTGAACATACAGTTTGGAGAGGTAAAGAATTATTTTGAAGACTTAAGGAATTAATTTCTGTATATTCGGCCTGACATTCGTTGCCCCTATTCTAGTATGGACAAAACTTTTGTTTATGTCCAGGTTCCCCACAATACCAACAGTCTACTTTGCTACCATGTCGGCAATTTCGGGATGAATGGCCTTGTTCCCCACAGTAGTAACAGGATGTAGACTTCCTGGATACGGGCGGAGGTTGCATCTGATTCTGCTTTAGAATTGGGACATGTTCATTGTAAAGTTTCAGCAGAGAGGCGGTTCCTTTGTCTGACAAATGTATGCCGTCCTTCCAGTACAAAGAGGAATTCCAGTCATTAAAAATCCGACTAGATTTAAGAACTGTTGCACCGTATTCCTCACATACAAAGCGGATAGTATCATTTACACCGGTGACCACTGTATCTTTTCTTGGCATGACTTCAGACACGAAAACACGAATGTTTGAATTTCTTTTCCGTAGATCCGTTATTATTGCAGAAAAGTCGTTTTCCACTGCTTCCATATCTCGGTGATTTGAGATATCATTTCCCCCAGCCTGAATAATTGCATTTTCCAGTAAAGAAACATCGTATTGACTAAGTTTTTTACGAATAAATGAGATACTGGCACCCCTATTCGTACTCACTTTAACTTTTGAATTTAACCCACGGGTTTTAATTCTTTGCAGAATTGAACTGCCAATGATGAGTGTTGATTTCTCAGAACTGGGAGATTTTTGAAGGGAATTCCGTCTTGGTTTTCTGTATACATGTGGTTCTGGTTCTGTATTTGTTGAACATTCCTTTTTAGAAGTTTCAGAAAGAACATTGTCACACTGCACATGTCTAGAAGCGACATTGTTGGATCCTTTCGGCAGATCATCGGTACAATTGCCTTTGTTCTTGAAGACTTTCGAAATTGTTTGAGTACTCGAACTGGTTAAGTTTTTCTGTACATTTTCACCCAGTTTCTTTTTTAAAGACTCAACTTCTACGCGCAGAGCAGAATCACTACACTTGCTACATTCTTTTGATTCATTACACTGCGAAAAACTTGATGAATTTCTCATAGGAGTAGATGCCATATGTGGTGGTGGCTGAGATAGAATAATATTTGATTCATTAATATCACAGGCATAGACACTTATTTCTTCAAGGAATTTCTCGCACCATGTTGTTGCTGAACTACCCTGAATGTGTAGTACTGAGGTGCTTCTGTATATCGTAGCCGTGACCGATCTGCAATCAGTCTTAAAAATATGGCCATCTCCTCTAGTAGTTTTCTCAAAAGTTAGCTCTTGTTCAAGATATGAGAAAATGGCGTCATATTTTACCTTGTCAAAACTCACAGTGATGCTCCTTTTGTTGGTGGTTACTTTAAGGAAGCTGGGTAAATCCACATTGATTTGTAGTTTATCCTGACTGTCATTTATTGGATTTGTTAGTCCAGAAAAAGAATCCAAAATTGATCTGAAAAAGCTTGAACCTGAGCTTTCATCCATCATTTTATCTACTACATTGTGTTTTTTAACACAGGAATCATAATCCTAATCAAAAACAGTATAGGTATCTCAGGTAAGATCAGGAGCAACTTGAAGTACGTCTTATCTCTTCGGTGTCTTATCTTAATATTTCATGGCAAACTGGCAAGATGGTGACTGACCTCGCACTGACATGGGCTTCACAGGCGTCCCTGGACTAAATGTTGAAATGCCAGATGATCAACATTCGCCACTTGATTTTTTCAACCTATTCATCAAGGATGATGATTTCCAGACCATGGCAGACGAAACCAATCGCTATGCGGAGCAGTATCTACAACGAAATGAGGGAAACCTCAAGCCTTCTTCCCGATTTCGTAACTGGGTCAAAACCACACTGGATGAAATGAAGGTGTTTATCGCAATGACGATTGCGATGGGTTTAGTAGTTCAGCTGGACATTTCCGAGTATTGGACAATATCGGAGGTGAATACCACACCGTTTTTTCCGTCATTAATGCCAAGGGACAGGTTTTGGCTCCTTATGTGCTTCTTTCATTTGGCAGATAACAGCGCACAGGTACGTTGAGGAAACGCAGGTTACAACCCTCTATACAAACTCGGATCCCTTTACAAAAACATTATTTCTTCATTCGGGACTGTGTTTCGTCCACACCAACATCTGTCTTTGGATGAAGGGATGGTACCGTGGCAAGGAAATCTGTCTTTTCGTGTGTACAATCCAGACAAACCCAAGAAGTATGGGATCAAGGCCTACATGTTCTGTGATGCAGTGACTGGGTATTGTTTACGTTTAAAACTTTATCCTGGGAAATCGGAGACACCTGCTAGTGCAAATGGGGCTACATACGACTTAGTTATGGACATGATGCGAGGATACTTTGGACAAGGTTACATTTTGTACATGGACAATTATTATAGTTCACCACAGCTTTACACAGACTTGTTTGTGCTCGGGTGTGGTGCCACTGGAACATTACGGGTTAATCGCAAGGGAATTCCACAGCGAATAAAGGACAAAAAGGTGGACAAAGGTAACATGTTCAGTATGTGTAATGATGAACTTGTTCTTGTGAAGTACCATGACCGTAAAGTTGTTTACCTGTTATCTACCATCGAGGAAGCTGCAAAAGCCCCCTGTGGAAGAGTGGCACCAAGAACAGGAACACCTATTGAAAATCCTGCGATCGTTAATGTGTACAACAAGTATATGGGAGGCATAGATCGGTCTGATCAAATGGTTTCTTACGCTACTTTCAATGCCAGGACCCTGAAGTGGTGGAAGCGTGTGATTTTCCATGTGATTTCTCTAGCTACTTTGAATGCTTACCTGTGCTACAAGACCCTAACTCCCAGGAAACCTATGCTTCACAGAGTTTTCCGAAAACAACTTGTAACCGAACTTGTGCAGTCCGTTAACAGAGCATGTGTCCCGGGAATGAGTACAAAGCCTGTCGGGAGGCCTAGCACTGCAGCAGAACCCATCATGAGACTGCAGGGGCAGCATTTCCCCATGAAGATCGTTGGAACAGGCATAAAGAAAAACATTACCCGTGCTTGTGTCGTGTGCTCGGTGGCAGAGAGGCAGAGGCTCGAATCCATTGGAGAAAAAAGGAAAAGAGCAGGAAAGGAATCTAGCTATCAATGTGACAAGTGTCTGTCTGCCTTATGCGTTGACCCCTGCTTCAAACTTTTTCACACACATAAAGACTACATAGCTGCGTACAAGACGCGTGTGATGGTCAACAAGTAAATTTTACCAGTTCAGAAGTGAAAAATATGTGCTGATACAAATCCATCTAAATTTATTTATTATGACATTTTATGTGTTCATTGTTGATCTATTATTCATTTTATCTGTTATAAGTATTACATTGAAAACTAGATTCCTTTTCTGTCTTTTTCTTATGACATTTCATGTGTTCATTATATTATTTGTGCTATCTGTTATAATTTAAATTATTTATTTATATATTTATTTATTTATTTTTATTTATTTATTTATCTGTGATTAATCAATTTTTAAATTTCTAATGAAATATTGATTGATTTGATTTAAAACAATAATATGATATTTCTCTTCTAATATCTATTTCTTTATGTTTTTACCTGTATTTACCTGAAGGTTACCTAAATATATATGTATGTGTACATGTATATAATTATTACCTGTTCAGGTTTGAAAATTATGTGTAGATACATTAAATCCAAATTTAATTATCAAGACATTTTATGTATTTATTTTATTATTCATGTTATTTGTTATAAGTTATTTATTTATTTTTATGTTATTGTATTTAATTAGTTGCATATTTAAAGTTATTCAGTCATTTTCATTGGTTGTTGAAATTGATTTTACCTGTTGAAAAATACATACCTGTTCAGTAATTGAATGAAGAAAATTGTCAATTAATTATTTATTCATTAATTTCTCATGAAATATTGATTGATTTGATTTAAAAAATAATATTTCTCTTCTAAAATCTAATTTTTTTTTTTTATGTTTTTACCTGTATTTACCTGAAGATTACCTGTACAACTGTATACATACAAATATATTGTATTATAACATATTTGAAATAGAAGCTAAAAGTCTGCTGAACATTTTGATGTATAATATGTCTATATTACTATTATTGTTACTGAATAAATTTGATTTAAACAAACCACCTCTTTTACTTTCAAAACTAGGCAAAAATATTCAGCTCATAGCCTTTTCACTTTGTATTATATACAGCATTACTAGGGTTAATTACAATTTAGGAGCATATTTCAAACGATAAATTCATTTTCAGTAAATAAGTAGAGCCCCCCCCCTCTATGGTACCCCTGACCCTGTCTCTTTATCATAACTATGTACTTAGTTATTTTATTTAATACCCAGAAGCAGAGAAAATTTTCAAAGAATTAATGTATTTTCACTATACTCTGTGGTTTCATCAATATTTGTTGAACAACAATTTTCGAAGTTTTTGTTGCTGAACTGATCCACGAAATTAAATGTTCATTGAATTGAGAAATGTGTTATTCATTAGGTGTGCATAGACATGCAATGCTTTTGTCCATAAATATACGTATCATCGAAAGCATCCGTTTTGCAAAATCCACGAATATTGATGGCAACGAAAATTGATGAAACCACAGTAATCAATAAACCCGTGCCCTAACACCAGAACCCCTGACCCTGGGGCCAGTACATAAAGTTGTGACATACGACGACGGACGAAAACAGATAGCAATAGGTCACCTGAGTGATTCTCATCAATATCTAACAGCATATGAAGTTTGATGAAAATATCATATGCTTCTTTGAAACTGAGCTTTGAACAGAGCTAAACGCAAAGTATAACAGGAGAGACGATGGACATAACAAACATTATTATACTTCTGTTAAAATGTTTCCTATATAAAGTTCAGAAAGTAAAATAGCTATCTTTTATAGTTCACGCATAGCAAAGATATACCCCCAGGGTATAGTTTTTGTTATTATACCTCTGTTTATTTTTTCTATATAAAAATCAGACGAATAAACATGCTATTTTTTTCTAAACAGTCTCTATCGGGAAATAGTTTCAGTGCTATTTGCCCATGGTGAATAGTCCTCAAACTATTTAACGGCAGAATTCCGTTTCCCTCGCTTTTCATCTAGGAAAACTTCTGGTTTTATACGGATTGTGACACGTATATATTATGACGTAACAAAAGTTAAGTCAGCATCGGTATAATATGGAATATCAAAATTGTGTGTACCCTGGACTTCCAAAAGCTAACAAAAGTTAAGTCAGCATCGGTATAATAAAACACCTATTTACTGACTATTCGGACAATAGCAAGTTTATCGTCCCCCTCGACTGTCTTGGGGAACGATAAACTTGCTATTGTCCTCAAAGCCAGTAAATAGGTGTATACTATCCACCCTTGGAAAATTTTCATGCAATTTTTACCTCCAATTTTGATTTCCAGCAATATATCTATCGACTGATGATGTCATAATGACTTAAGTAGCAACGCCATCATGTTTTCAGATTATTCTTGCAGTATTATCTTACTCCTAAAAAATTCAAACCTCAGAAATTACAAGATGCCCAAGGGCCTTGAATCGCTCTTCTGATAAATCATACAACCTATCATTTGAATTCTAAGACCCAGGTTGCATCACCTGACAAAGTTTGATGATTCTTAGCCAATTAGGACTACTTTTTGGTCTACATTCTTGGAAAACACAAAATGCATCAACTGACAAAGTTTTATAATTCTAAGCCAATAAATACCTAAGATACTTAAAAAAAGCCATAAAATGTCACCGTGACCTTCTTTTTGGTCGAAACTCTCTGAAAAACCCAAGATGCATCAACTGACAATGTTTGATGATAAGCCAATAAGTACCGGAAAATACCAGGTACTTAAATATAGCCATAAAATGTCAAAAGAAGGTCATCATGACCTACATTTTGGTTGACATTTTTAAGAGTCCCAAGATGCATCTGCTGACCAACTGTAATAATTCTAAGCCAATAAATACCTGAGATATTCAAAAGTAGGTCACCATGACTTACTTTTTGGAAGAAATTCTCCATAAACCCAAGATGCATCAACTGACAAAGTATGATGATTCTAAACCAATTAGTACTAGAGATACATAAATATAGCCATAAAATGTCAAAAGGAGGTCACTGTGACCTACTTTTTGGTCGACATCCTCGGAATACCAAAGATGCATCAACTGACAAAGTTTGATGATTCTAAGCCAATAAGTACCGCAGATACTTAAATATAGCCTTAAAATGTCAAAAGTAAGTCACTGTGACCTAATTTTTGGTCATCACTCTCCGAAAACCCAAGATGCATCAACTCACAAAGTTTGATGATTCTAAGCCAATAAGTACCAGAGATACTTAAATATAGCCATAAAATGTAGAAAGTAGGTCACTGTGACCTAATTTTTGGTCATCATTCTCTGAAAACCCAAGATGCATCAACTGACAAAGTTTGATGATTCTAAACCAATAAGTACCAGAGATACTTAAATATAGCCATAAAATGTCGAAAGTAGGTCACTGTGACCTAATTTTTGGTCATCACTCTCTGAAAACCCAAGATGCATCAACTCACAAAGTTTGATGATTCTAAGCCAATAAATACCTAAGATACTTAAATCTAGCCATTAAATGTCAAAAGTAGGTCACCGTGAACTACATTTTGGTCGACATTTTTCAGAGTCCCAAGATGCATCGCCTGACCAAGTTTGATAATCGTAGGTTTGAAGGTAATCAAAATATGCCTTTTAAACAATTTGAAAACAAATGCCTGTAAAATTCTAAAAGTAGGTCACAGTGACTTACTTTTTCTTTAATATGTTTTTAGGTCCCAAGATGCAGCAACTTACAAAATTTGATGATTCTAACCCTTTCAGTGCCTGAAATAATGAGATAAAATGTTTTAAAAAGGAAAGGTCGCAAAGTTCAAAAAGTAGGTCATGGTGACCTACTTTTAAGTTGACGTTGTTCAAGGGCCCAAGATGCATCATCTGACTAAGTTTGATGATCATAGGCCTTAAAGTGTCAAAAATATGCCTTCAAATCAATTTGAAAACAAATACCCGCAAAATTAAAAAAGTATGTCATCGTGACCTACTTTTGAGTTAAAATGATGTGAAGTCCTAGGATGCATCAACTTACAAGATTTGATGATCCTAGTCTTTATATTAAGCAAATTATAGACATTTTCATTAATTGTAAATTTAGGTCAACTTTAAAGTGACCTTGAGACCACGCCCTTTGCCCCAGGGTCATGCCTTGAACAATTTTTAATCTTCAACATATCCTAATCCTTATATGTAAGTTTGGTGAAAATCTGCCTGGTGGTTCTTGAGAAGAAGATTTTTTTGCAACCAGTACTTTTGGTTTTGTTTTCCTGATTATCTCCCCTTGTTTTAGGGTCCCAACCCTTATTTTAGTATAAATGGTAGCCCTTGGGCCAAGGATACCCTGTGACAAATTTAACACTGATTGGCCAAGGGGTTCTTGAGTTATGGCCCATATTCTAAAAAGTTAACGCACACCGCACAAATGGCCATAGCATTAGCTCTTTGAGCCTTTGGCTCAGAAGAGCTAATGATTATACATCAGTATGATAAAACGCTTATCCACTGGGTGTGAGTGGGATAGCTCTTTTATCAAACCCTTGACAGTGACTATTTCCCTCGGGCAAGTCCTCGGGGAATAGTTCTCTTTTGCGGGTTTGATAAAAGAGCTCTCTCACTCACACCCAGTGGATAAGTGTATACTATCTGCCCTGGCCATATTCATGGTGGGATATAAAAACCTATCTTAGCAATCCACATTTTATACCTAACCTATTATGCTACAGTTTTGCTTTATATTTAAAGATAATAGCTAATCCCATATGCATAGGGAAATATTTTAAGCCAACATTCAAGTGTTACTGATATTAAGTCTGTATCAGACAATTGCAGCAAAAGCATCAGGAGTCCATGATACATGCAGGAAACGAATTTGATTACTGAAGTTATATTTGGTAAGTAATATTGGGGAAGTTCAACATTTTTAATGAATTTGATTCAGAAAGGAAGTTTCCATACTTCCTAAGCAGATTTACACACCATGATATAACTGAGATACGTCTACAATATACAATCTGTAACTTGACACTAGCCTACACATCAGCAGAAAGGAATATACACCACTGAAAATGGACTCCATTAGAAGATCACAAACGTAAGTTTTCATGACAAGAATTTAAAACACTAAGAACAATTTCTAAATCATCTGAATCAGTGTAATTTGTTGACAATATAATTGGTTGTAACTTCACCACTGAATTTAAAACATACCCTAGACACTTACAGTTATAAATTTCACTATTTGAAAAAAATGAATGATTTAGTTCACTCAGTTGAAAAATAACTGATTCATTTAAGGAAATTTTTTTATTTAATAATTTACAAAGAGGTAGATTCACATACTCTATAAAATGGCCCTGTCAATATACTAATTAACCGACCACGTCCTTACGTCCTATTTCGATCATCAACATGAATTAAAGACTTAGTACTTTCATTTCCTATAAAAAATATTCCTCTGAGAGTCCAAGTTTGGGAACTCAGGCTTTGTGAAACTGCAATGTTCTTGATTTTTGAAGAAAATAGGTGAAGTTGAGCATCTTCAACCTTTGATAAAAATATGAGCCCACCCCGCAATCCATACATTCTTTCATGGATTAGAATCTTCTACAACTGTTTTTTCATTATATAATTCAACATTTTAGATCAGAGGTTGGGGGCTATGCAAAATATTAAAAAACAGCTTAAAATTATGGTCAATTTAAACGAAATTTTCAAGATTTGAGGAAAATGACGAAATTCATGACGTCATAATACATAAACAAGAGAAAAAATACCTCATTTTTATTTGATATGAAGTCACCAAGGGTCTAAGTGAAATATAATATATTTTCAACTAAAACTGAGTAGTTTTTATTTTTCAGAAATTCACAGGGCCAAAAATGGACCAATGTGAACTTTCTTCTTTACAAATACAGTAAAACACGTTTAGTACAAACACGGATATAGCGCATTCACGGATATAACGAAGTTTTGCTGCGTCCCCGGCAACATTATTTACAAATCTTTGTAAAATTTTACGGTTATAACGAACTCTGAAATAACGAATTTACGGATATAGCGAACTGATTTTGAATCCCGTTGAGGTTAAATATAATGAATTTTACATCTTTTATAACGAACTTTCAAACAAAGATTTCAAATTTTAAATAATTGAACTGACTTATTTTCTCTTAGCATTTGTATATAAAATTCAATTCAAAATAAAACCTTCAATTCATAATAAAATTTTACTTATCGAAGGTATGTTTTGTAATATTTGCATCCCTCACATATTTGTTAGTAAAACATGAAGGAAAACATGCATATTGCAAATTCGCTATATATGATTATACGAATTCGTTATACGGATACAACGAATTACGGATGTAGCGAATTAAATTCACAGGTCCCCAGGACTTCGCTATAATCGTGTTTTACTGTATATGAATGTAAAAATTCTTTTTTTTTTAATTAAGAGAAAATATACACTGTCAACATTTCTTTTTGATAAAACATAATAGTTTGTTTATTAAGCTTATCAATTATGATAATTATATTATAGATTTACAAAAGTGAAACACTAATTATACACAAATATAAATTCCACTTTAATCATTCTCAGTGAGATAGCCATACAACGCATATCAGAGTCAGTGTTTGTTGGACTGTGTGATATAGTGGGGACCTCACAAATGGTGGCCATGAGGAGAGATGTGCTGGATATCTTGGAGATGGTGATAAATCAGGTGACAACAAGAGATAATATGAGTAAAATGGTTAGTGGAAGTTACGGAGAAGGATTCAGACTGAAAGGATCAGATATAGACACGATGTGGTGGCCAGATGATCACCGTGTGATTTGGGACTTATCTCAGTCTCAGTATTACAACACACACAGACAAACACTGTTCCTCTGTGACAGTTCTGATAGTCCACCAGGATTCACTTTGTTATATTTACTGACACCCAGAGTGAATAGTGAAATCCTGAGAGCGTGTGTTAGAGTGAATAACAGATATTATATATCTAGTTCTAATTTCAGACAGATCTCTTTATCTCAGCAACAACCTTATAACCCCACTCCACATGGACCGTGTGCCAGTGGAACAATTGGAACACTAGAATATGATCATGCCCTCTGTTTTGTTAGTGACTTTTGGCCTCCCTCTGCCTCCTCATGGATAGACAGATGTCACTCATGGCCCCCGCCTCATGTTGTTGATGATATAGTGAAAAATGGATGTCACTTTGTAGCAATTGGACATAAACTAGGAAATCATGAAGATCATGAATGGAGAATTTCTTTCTCCCAAGCAGAACAAAAACTTGTGTATGCAATGAATCACTGTCAGTTCTTAACTTATGGCTTGCTTAAATTGATCTTAACAAAAATAATTAACAATGGAGTAGGTGATGATGATAAATTACTGTGTTCCTATCACATGAAGACAGCAGTTTTCTGGGTGATTCAACAAAATACAATGCGTAACTGGTGTCCACAAAATCTCCTGGGGGGTTTCTGGGTCTGTTTTAAACTCATCCTCAAATGGGTGTATGAGGGGGTCTGTCCTAACTTTTTCATTCCAGGCAACAACATGTTTCTAACTAAAATTCATGGTGTCAAACAATATCAGTTATTTATAAGACTGTCAGAGTTGTATAAGAAGGGTATAGCATTCCTGCTACACAGTCCCTTCATTAGATCTTATATTATAGATGTCCTCTATAACCCCAGAAACTCCATATGTACAGATGGTAGTACTCTGATTTCTGAGGCTGAGTTTGATATAAATCTATTTGCTGAAATACAGCATCATTCCGTAATACAAGAGAAATTGGACATACAAAGCTGCATTAGATGTCTACATACAATAGAACAGATGATAGGCTCACCCCTCCTGACACAGTATCAAGTCATTATGCTCCAGAACATGACCACTAAGGTCCTTCAGTACAATGCTTTTATATTACACATGGAAACTTACACATCTGATAACAAACTAAGTTATAAAGCTGACAAAATCTCCAGTCAAATGCTGAAATTGGCAGCCAAGTTTGGTTGTATTACAGACATGCTGTACATAGCCATGTATTATTACAAGACATGTAAATACACAGAAGCTTTATCTATCATAGAGATGATCAAGGTCAAGTTAGCACAGCCATATGTGATGAATATAGATAATATAGATACAGAGAGGTACACTGAGGCTGTAGGGGGACAGTCCTGGTCGACAAAGATTAGACAGGTTTTAGCAGAGATTGTAAATCTTGACAATAGAATTCATTTCATCAGTGAACTGATACCAGAACAACAGTCAGCTCTACAGAAGCGCTGGTTTTTATTACCTGTACCACCCTTTATCCTGTTATACATGCTAGAGATCTTGTGCTACAGACATGTAGACACAATGAGAGCACAAACAGCTCTAGATGATCTACAAACCCTAGTTCACTATGATCAAGAACAGTATATACCTTTACTCCTCAGAGACATATCGTGGCAGATTCTGGGGATCTGTCAACAGGTGACAGGGAACCTCCAGTCAGCTCTATACTCATACCAACAATCTCTCAGAGAAGAACAACACCACAACATACAAACAGCTACAGAAATGAGAATACAGAGTTTACCAATGGATTCCCTTTATTAATTAAATGTCAGATGGTATTTATAGGAGTTCACCTGAGAGAGATTTCTCATTTACATATCCTCTTCTGATTTCATATTCTCTTTTCTGTCTGTTTTATTACATGTATTATAAAGCTAATAACTAGTCTATAATAAAATGTAAGAGGCACCATAGCTTATCATAATTACAGTCAAACCTGTAATAAGCAGTCAGCTACGGGATGCATTAAAAGTGACCTTTATAGATTCTTCATTTCATGATTATATTTCATTTGATTAATAAAACAGTTTAAATTCACTTATCTTTGTTTGTTTTTTTTAGGAAGATTAAATCGTCATCATTTAGGCCTGCTTATTTACATGTAATTTTCACAATTCTTATTTACAGAATTGACATAATTTTATTATAATTAGGATACTATATGACTTACGTCAATGAGAAAATGTAAAAATTGTTGTATTTGAATGACTTCCTCAAGAATAACATCATTTGACTTTAATGTACTTGCTGGTAACAATTTCTATTTTGGGGCAAGTTGTGAAGACACACTTCAAGTCTCAATGTAACGTACTTCACTTACTGTGAAGGAAATGTATTTTTGTTGAATCTACTCTCCTATATAATAACTTTTAACTCTAGTCTACCTTGCTAAATGCTCACCTGGTAATATCCCCCCCCCTCCATTCCCCTGTCATCTTTACACACTAAAATTTACCTTCTAGAAATGTACCCCCCCCATCCATTCCCCTGTCATCTTTACACACTAAAATTTACCTTCTAGAAATGTACCCCCGCTCAATTCCACTGTCATCTTTACACACTAAAATTTACCTTCTAGAAATGTGCCCCCCTCCATTCCCCGGTCCTCTTTACACACTAAAATTTACCTTCTAGAAATGTACCCCCCCCCCCTCAATTCCCCTGTCATCTTTACACACTAAAATTTACCTTCTAGAAATGTACCCCCCCCCCCTCAATTCCACTGTCATCTTTACACACTAAAATTTACCTTCTAGAAATGTACCCCCCCTCCATTCCCCTGTCATCTTTACACACTAAAATTTACCTTCTAGAAATGTACCCCCCTCCATTCCCCTGTCATCTTTACACACTAAAATTTACCTTCTAGAAATGTACCCCCCCTCCATTCCCCTGTCATCTTTACACACTAAAGTTTACCTTCTAGAAATGTACCCCCCCTCCATTCCCCTGTAATATTTACACACTAAAGTTTACCTTCTAGAAATGTACCCCCCCCTCCATTCCCCTGTCATCTTTACACTTAAATTTACCTTCTAGATATGTACCCCCCTCCATTCCCCTGTCATCTTTACACACTAAAGTTTACCTTCTATAAATGTTCCCCCCCCTCCATTCCCCTGTCATCTTTACACACTAAAATTTACCTTCTAGAAATGTCCCCCCCTCCATTCCCCTGTCATCTTTACACACTAAAATTTACCTTCTAGAAATGTACCCCCCCCCCTCCATTCCCCTGTCATCTTTACAGTCTAAAGTTTACCTTCTAGAAATGTACCCCCCCCCCCTCCATTCCCCTGTCATCTTTATACACTAAAGTTTACCTTCTAGAAATGTACCCCCCCCCTCCATTCCCCTGTCATCTTTACACACTAAAATTTACCTTCTAGAAATGTACCCCCCCTCCATTCCCCTGTCATCTTTACACACTAAAATTTACCTTCTAGAAATGTACCCCCCCTCCATTCCCCTGTCATCTTTACACACTAAAATTTACCTTCTAGAAATGTACCCCCCCCTCCATTCCCCTGTCATCTTTACACACTAAAATTTACCTTCTAGAAATGTACCCCCCACTCCATTCCCCTGTCATCTTTACACACTAAAGTTTACCTTCTAGAAATGTACCCCCCCCTCCATTCCCCTGTCATCTTTACACACTAAAATTTACCTTCTAGAAATGTACCCCCCCCCTCCATTCCCCTGTCATCTTTACACACTAAAATTTACCTTCTAGAAATGTACCCCCCCACCCCTCCATTCCCCTGTCATCTTTACACACTAAAATTTACCTTCTAGAAATGTACCCCCACCTCCATTCCCCTGTCATCTTTACACACTAAAATTTACCTTCTAGAAATGTACCCCCCCTCCATTCCCCTGTCATCTTTACACACTAAAATTTACCTTCTAGAAATGTACCCCCCCCCCCCCTCAATTCCCCTGTCATCTTTACACACTAAAGTTTACCTTCTAGAAATGTACCCCCCCTCAATTCCCCTGTCATCTTTACACACTAAAATTTACCTTCTAGAAATGTACCCCCCCTCAATTCCCCTGTCATCTTTACACACTAAAATTTACCTTCTAGAAATGTACCCCCCCCTCCATTCCCCTGTCATCTTTACACACTAAAGTTTACCTTCTAGAAATGTTCCCCCCCTCCATTCCCCTGTGATCTTTTCACTCTTAAGATTACCTTGTTGTAATGTACCCCCCCTCCATTCCCCTGTCATCTTTACACACTAAAATTTACCTTCTAAAATGTACCCCCCCTCCATTCCCCTGTCATCTTTACACACTAAAATTTACCTTCTAGAAATGTACCCCCCCCTCCATTCCCCTGTCATCTTTACAGTCTAAAGTTTACCTTCTATAAATGTACCCCCCCCCCCTCCATTCCCCTGTCATCTTTACACACTAAAATTTACCTTCTAGAAATGTACCCCCCACTCCATTCCCCTGTCATCTTTACACACTAAAATTTACCTTCTTGAAATGTACCCCCCCCCCTCCATTCCCCTGTCATCTTTACATACTAAAATTTACCTTCTAGAAATGTACCCCCCCCTCAATTCCCCTGTCATCTTTACACACTAAAGTTTACCTTCTAGAAATGTACCCCCTCAATTCCCCTGTCATCTTTACACACTAAAATTTACCTTCTAGAAATGTACCCCCCTCCATTCCCCTGTCATCTTTACACACTAAAGTTTACCTGGCTAGGAAATATACCCCCCCCCCCCACTTTCCTCTGAACTCCACATACGTAAGTTTACCTGGCTAGGAAGTGTATCCCCCCTTTCCACTGTAATCTTTACACACATTAGTTTACCTGGCTAGGAAATGTATCTTCTCCGTTTGTAACGCTCCGTTCACACGTTTGAGGGCGGCTCCCGTCTTCCCCGACCCCACAACCTCCAGATAAACTCCCTGGATTTCCTGGACGACCTTGAACTTGTGTCTGAATGGGAACACCTGGGGGACCTGGTAGTAGGGACTGCTGATACTGACAGACACCGGGAAAATGTCCGTCATACTGAAGGCGTAGGTCGCCGTGCTAGAACTACCATTCCTATGTTATAACAAGATTGGTGATACATACACAGAAATTCTACATTTGTATGAAATAAAAAAAACTACTTTCAGTCTACCTTGTTTTTAGCAAAGGGGTTCTGTGATCAAGAAAATTAATAAAGGAATATATATAGTGTGCGGCAGACAAAAATCATGAAAAAATTCAATTCAATTACTTACAAAAATTAAATTTTTATTACAGAATCTATGAAGTGAAAAATGACCTTTATATCTACAGTTCATTAAACTTGACTTTGTTAGTTATAAAAATTAAATTTTCTTTCAGTATCCATGAAGTAAAAAATGATCAACAGTATGTTGAACTGGACTCAAAATTTTTTAATTAACTCTCAAATGGCAATTGTAAAACATTTACTATTTTTAATTTTCCTGATACTTATAATACTACTCATTATTACCCTAGCTGGTCCTTGGTGCCTCCGTCAGAATACTCGGAGAAGTCCCAGGTGAAGGTAAGGTTATCTCCCCTGCCAGCGGTCACTCGGACAGTCAGTGGATCACTGAGGGACACAACGTAGACCCCGGGCAGCTCCCTGTGGGGGGACAGGATCTCCAGGGTAACATCCCCGACAGCCTCCCCTACCATCACCGTGACATCACCCGTCACCCAGGAGATGGCATTAGACACATTGACCTTGACCTGGTACTGACCTTTCAGATTGTACTGGTGTTGTAGGAAGGTGGTGTATTTAGGTAGATATGAGCTAGAGGTGGTATCTATGGTAACAACGACATCATCAGAGGATAACGAAGCCTGAACTCCGTCACCAAAATCCACGTCAAACACGACGTCCCGACTTCCTGTCACCTGGACCGTGATGTCACAGACACGCCCCTCCACTGTAGGGTTGGAGGTCAAGGTCACATCAAGGAGAGGGTATTGGATCTTCACCTCCTGTACAGCAAGTAACTTATCTCCAAGGTCATTCTGAGCACCCACTGTTAGTACACTTGTACCAGGCCGGTTAATTTCCTCAATAACCTGTAAAGTCAATAACCTGTCAAGTCAGTATTTACAACTAAATCTTAAAATACAGATCATTAACTGTTCTCCCTGTACATATAACACTGAGTGGATAAACTCTATGAACTAATTTTTAAAGTTTGAATCATTTTTAAACTGTCATTAAATTGCAGCATGCCATGTTCACTTATCCACAAGTTGTACAAGTTAGCTCCCTTGTACCACATTTTATTAACAGAATCAATGAATGCCTTTAGTCATATAACATTACCCAGTTGACAGTGCTAGCAGGAGACTGACGATTGTCTAAGGACCAGAAGTACAAAACCCCAGATCCACTCCCTGTAAAATCCTGGGATTCACCCCCAGTCAATTCCTTGGATCCACCAACGGTTATCTCAGCTTCAAACAGGTGCTCTCTGGAAATTCTGAAATGATACATTATTTCTCGAATTTTGAACTTCCAAGTAATATTTTTCTTGCTTACTTTTTTTGTTGAAAAAATGAATACCATAATATTTATTTATATAATTAACAATTTATGTCAATAAGAACATGAGAACAAGTTCACAAGTAACATCATCTAATTTGTCATCAGAAAATGGAAGTTTCTGATGAGACAGTAGCTCTAAAATTACAAATGTTTCCAGTTTGTTTACTTTAAATATTAATATGAATGTGATCGGCCTTCTAAAACCGAAACGATGATACAAGCAAACGTTGTAAGAATCATGAATATATTATAATAGTAGAAATTATAGCCTGCCAGCTGTGAAAATACCGACATTATAAACTTTGAACGAGAAAAACTGAACTCGGAAGAATAAAGAGAGGATTCGTAAGGCGTAATTTAGACGCTGATTTCGTACGCCTTACGCCAAAATCATAAGGGTTGGCAGCTCTGGTACAGCCATGTGAAAAAGTTTAATCAGACCAAAATTGTAGGAGAAGTGGTTATTTATGGAATTTCTGATGAAACAGATCTCCTTTAAATTCAATGCCCGATTGGCAACATTCTTTGTCAAATCAAAAACAAAAATTGACTACGCGAAGATTAAACAGAGCAGTATTTAAGCTCTGGTTCTGGTGAGCTAAATATGTCAATATGGTTTCAAAAATCTTGAGGATTATTACACGTGTGAAAATCCTGTACTCCACACATGCTTAAACAGATAACAAGATTTCCAGACATAAATTAAGTTTAAAAAGTCCACCCACCTTGTTATAGAAAAAATGATAGAAACAATGGTGAGAGACATTTATTAGGTTTGCTGACAACAGAACATTTTTGTTTTAAAAATATTACACTTAACCGAAAACACAAAATAGCAATAAAATCTGCAATTCTAAGGAAAAAAAATAGAGTTCACCTTAATCACCCTGTGGTTTTTCATTTCACCTCATATATTATATAAATATAGCCCTTTGATGAGGTGAATCCATAGATATATCGACTTCACAGAAAAGCATATCGACCGAGCACGAAGTGCGAGGTCGATATGCTTTTCTGTGAAGTCGATATATCTATGGATTGACCGAATTAAAGGGCTACATTTGTTATATTATTTTTTACATAGATTGACAAAACAAATTATGAAAATAATTGGAAAAGTTTTCTCCCTTTAACAATTAGAAACTAGAGATCAAAATAAATTACACCGTTTAATGTAAATGCGTTTCCTTTATATTGATGGAGTGATTTAGACGATTTACTTATTCAGAATACTTCATTTATTTGATTAAGTTTTGTATCAATATTTGACACACATATCGAATATGTTTTAATTAATATGAAGTAATCCTAATCCAATGCCTTCTTTTGTCTCATCAAATACAGAACATAGAAAAAAAGTTAGTAAAAGTTGAAATAAATATTTTTTTTCTAGAAACATCAAATCATACACTGTATTAGCTTTGATTGAATACAGTACTATTTTGTTTCACGGAAATTATCTCCATTTTAAGAAACCTCAAGTCGATACGCATTTCAGATTCTATAAATAGTAACTCAAGTCTTTATGCTGTTATATACTAAATCATGTGATCAAGTTTGAGCCAATCAGAGAGCTGGGAATAAATGATAAAAATAATATTGGGGCTTTCTGTTTTTTTCAATATATTTTTTTCCCTGATCATCACCACATGTTTTTCTTTAGAGAGAAATACTTGTTTAAAATTGGAATTGTGGCACGTGGCTTCGTGCTTCAGTAATTAAAGTCTGATTACCTAAACTTTTCCTTAGAACGGCTGGTTAGCTGGTTCTAGTGTGTTTGTTCTGAAGAGTGCTGGGTTAATACTTTGTTAAAATGTTTCTTGTTCAATAATTGTTTTTCAGTGTAGGTGAGCTCCACCCAACACCTGCAGGGGTCTTAAATGTGGTTGATATTTTCACATACTTTTAGCTCACCTGAGCCGAAGGCTCAAGTGAGCTTTTCTGATCAAAATTTGTCCTTGTCTGTCGTCGTTGTCGTTGTTGTCGTCGTAAACTTTTCACATTTTCATCTTCTTCTCAAGAACCGCTGGGCCAATTTCAACCAAACTTGGTACAAAGTATCCTTGGATGAAGGGGATTTCAGTTTGTTCAAATGAAGGACCAGGCCCTTTTCCAAGGGGAGATAATTATGAATTAGAGAAAAATTAATGGCATTTTTAAAAAATCTTCTTCTCAAGAACCACTGGGCCAGGAAAGATGAAACTCATGTGGAATCATCCTCAGGTAGTGTAGGTTCAAGTTTGTTAAAATCATGACCCCCGGGGGTAGGGTGGGGCCAAAATGGCCAATCAAAGTTTTACATAGGAATATATAGGGAAAATCTTAAAAAATCTTCTTCTCAAGAACCACTGGGCCAGGAAAGATGAAACTCATGTGGGATCATCCTCAGGTAGTGTAGATTCAAGTTTGATCAAATCATGACCCCAGGGGGTAGGGTGGGGCCAAAATGGCCGATCAAATTTTAACATAGGAATATATAGGAAAAATCTTTTAAAATATTCTTCTCAAGAACCACTGGGCCAGGAAAGATGAAACTCATGTGGTATCATCCTCAGGTAGTGTAGATTCAAATTTGTTAAAATCATGACCTGGAGGTAGGGTGGGGCCAAAATGGCCGATCAAAGTTTTAGATAGGAATATATAGGAACAAGAGGCCCACGGGCCTTATAGGTCACCTGAGCATTATGCAACAACTTTCCAGTTACAGTGTATTGAATTTGATTCATGTTTTAAGTCAGATGCTATATGGCATTCACAATTTTGAAAGGGCACCATTGATCATCATAACAATAAACTTTAGCAGTTGCTAAGCTTGGTTACTGAATACCCATACGCAGGGTAGGGGAACAAAAATGCACTCCAACTAATCAGTAATATTCATCAATAATCAGTAGTGCCCCTAACACTCTGACATAAACCCCTGACCCTAGGTTGCACAAATTTTTAAAACGCACCCTTAAAATTGCCTATCAAAAAGTAAATAAATGTTTTATAAATACAAAGGACCAGATTTCAAGCAATTAATTCATTTTCAGTATATAAGTAGAGACCCCCCCACCCCAGACCCTGAGGCCTTGAAATTCACAATTCTGCAAGATTAGGGCCCTTGCTCATCATAACTATATAGGTAGTTCATCTGCTTCATACCCAGAGACAGAGAAGAAAATTTTCAAAGATTTAATGTATTTTTTCACTATATAATCAATAGAGCCCGACCCTAACACCAGAACCCCAGACTCTGGGGCAATGAAATTCATAATTTTAGAAGAGGCATTCTTGCTCATCATAACTATGCACTTACTTAGTTTATTTAATACCTAGGAGCAGAGAAGAAGATTTTCAAAGAATTCATGTATTTTCACTTTATAATCAATAAAGCCCCCCCCCCAGAACCATTGAAGCTGGGGGCATAAAATTCACACTTTTTGTAGAGGCACTCTTGCTCACCATAACTATGCACTTAGTGAGTTTATTTAATACCTAACAGCAGAGAAGAAGATTTTCAAAGAATTTATGTATTTTCACCATATGATCAATAGAGCCCCCCCCCCCAAACACCAGAACCTTTGATGATAGGGCCATTAAATTCACGATTTTGGTTGAGGCATACTTGCTTATCATAACTATGTACTTAGTTAGTTTATATAATACCTAGGAGCAGAGAAGAAGATTTTCAAGGAATTCACATATTTTCACTATATAATCAATAGAGCCCCCCCCTCCCACACACACCAGAACCCTTGACCCTGGGGCCATAAAATTCACAATCTTGGTTGAGGAACACTTGCTTATCATAACTATGCACTTACTTAGTTTATTTAATACCTAGGAGCAGAGAAGAAGATTTTCAAAGAATTCATGTATTTTCACTTTATAAACAATAAAGTCCCCCCCCCTCCACCAGAACCATTGACGCTGGGGCCATAAAATTCACAATTTTTGTAGAGGCACTATTGCTCATCATAACTATGCACTTAGTTAGTTTATTTAATACCTAGGAGCAGAGAAGAAGATTTTCAAAGAATTCATGTAATTTCACTATATAATCAATAGAGCCCCCCCCCCCCCCTAACACCAGAACCCCTGACCCTGGGGCCATAAAATTCACAATTTTGGTAGAGGCACTCTTGCTCATCATAAATATTTACTTAGTTGGTTTATTTAATATCCAGGAGCTGAGAAGAAGATTTTCAAAGAAATAATGCATTTTCACTATATACTTATTTAGCCCTGCCCTAGCACTAGAACCCCTGACCCCAGGGCCATGAATTTCACAATTTTGGTAGAGGACTCAATGCTGATTACAATCATGCAAATAGTTTGACTGCTTGATGTCCAGAAGTAAAGAAGAAGATTTTTAAAGATTGCATTAATTTTAGTGGTTTTGGCCCCACCCTTCAGGCCCCAGGGGGGCAGGGATCATGAAATTCACAATTTTTGTTCCCCTTCACCCATAGATGCTTTGTGCCAAATTTGGTTGAAATTGGTTCAGTGGTTGCAGAGAAGAAGCTGAAAATGTTTAAATGTTAACACACGACACACGACGGACGACGACGGACGAAAACGGATAGCAATAGGTCACATGAGTTTACTCAGGTGACCTAAAAATCTTTAAATTAAAATCTTCTTAGGTATCACTGGGCCAGGAAAGATGAAAGGCATGTGGAATCATCCTCAGGTAGTGTAGATTCAAGTTTGTTCAAATCATGACCCCCGGGGGTAGGATGGGGCCAAAATGGCCGATCAAAGTTTTACATAGGAATATATAGGAAAAATCTTTAAATTAAAATCTTCTTAGGTACCACTGGGCCAGGAAAGATGAAAGGCATGTGGAATCATCCTCAGGTAGTGTAGATTCAAGTTTGTTCAAATCATGACCCCCGGGGGTAGGGTGGGGCCAAAATGGCGGATCAAAGTTTTACATAGGAACATATAGGGAAACCTTTTAA